TGTGTGCCACAGAATAAAACAAATTGTTTTGAAGTAGGTTAAATTCACAAGATTGAGATGACAGAATATTTGGCACTTTGTAGTTGCATGTAGTCTAGACTGGATTTACCTGAGAATAAGCAACATTCTAACATTTCATATATTACGCACTTTAAGTGTAATCCTACTTTTTCTAATACTTGTAATCACCAGAAAAGTTCACTCTGATTCAAAATTTAAAGGCATTTTGGACAATAATGAATCATCCCCACTAGTAATAATCGTATGCCATGTTTAAAATTAAGAGAAACTGGATTCAGAATTTCCCTTGATAGTTAGTATATGCCTTAAAAAGGGGCAACGATGTGGGCATTGGCGCATCTTCCGAATCCGAATTGAAAATTACTTGTGGGTTAGTGAATGAAGACCATGGAATGTTTAAATATTTGTGCAAACTGTGTTTTAGTAAACTGACAAAACTGTCAAAACTGATAACATATCGACTTGCCCGATCCGGTCGTCGTTGCCAAACAGTCCATATGGACTGGTTTTAACAAACACACCATTTTCCCCAGATATAGCACTAAGCGCTTTCCTTTGATGGTCAGTAAGCTCGTTCACAGAGACAAACCTAGCAACGGTTCATTTATTCCACCATTTTAATTTTACCAAGTAATATGTCGTTTCTTTCGTGAGTTCTGATTGGGTAATGCAAATGAGCCCAAGTGAATCGTATAATCGTTTGAGCGCGTGCGACATGGCACTGACGCTGCAGGTTGCCGTCCTTTCTACACCGATCTGACGAATATATCGTGCAAGGCGTTTGCTCAAATCATAGATCATGTCAAAGCCAATCGCTGGTCAGCACGTTTTTTACGGTTATAATAAATCGTTTTAGTGATTACTTTACTAAATAATGATAAATGAAATATTGTAGAAACAAAGTTGCGTAAAAATGCAATCAGTTTATGCTGTTAGTTCCTGGTTCGAAAGGTTCTATGCGTTCAAGGACGCTCTATTTCAAGCTAGTTGAAACTTGAAATTACGCGGGAAA